CCCTTAAGTATAAGACTGGATGTTGTGATTGAATATTGAAGGATCCACCAGTGATGGAAGAAACCTGTTGATAATTTGCTTCTAGAGAATAGCTCAATGACTATAATAAGGAAGCTTGCTTTATAAGCCTATTTATATTTATTTTTAAATTTGAGAATACTCTCAAATTGAAAGAGCTTAAAGCTTACTTTTGATGTTTTAAATATTTGTTATCAATTTGTTACTTAACTGAATATAATTATTTTTTTACTCAAAATCTTTTCATGCCTTCTCAGAAGTTGGCACCAGTTTAACTTTTGAGTGGAATTAATGTTCTCATTAAAAAACATTATTGATGCAGCCAAAATCACAATGATATAACAGTGCTGTTTTTGGTGGGAGTGTGCATCTTCAGGGATCAGTGTTTTAAATCATCTTAGGACTGACAGGGCCTTTTTAATTATTAATATTGTAGAAACCTAAAGGACAAAGATAATTAGGTTGGCCTCAGAATAGAGTGAATATACTCAAGCTATAGTATAATATCTTTTACCTTTGGTTTCATTTCTAGTTGAAGTACTAAATTTGCATTTCTATTCCTCCATGCCTTCCCCCGACACCCTCCACCTCGCCTCCCAGTCCTTTTGGTCATACATTTCATTCATCTCTCAGGTACTTATTTACTGAACTCTTGTGTAGGTTTGCAGTAGGTGCTAGATTCATGAAAATGACTGAGTTGAACTTTGGGTTATAGTATGCCCGGGCCTGCTTCAAAAATTTGTAGATCTGGGGCAGAAGTACAAAGAGACTCACATACCCTGCTTCTCAATATTTAAAAGTCAAAAGTCAAAACAATAGATGGCTTAAAACAAAAAAAGAAAAATAGAAATCCCTTTGTGATCTGGAAGACCAAGTGTAGCTTTACTCTTTAGACTGCTTAGGCTCCACATTCCCACTGGAGTGTGATGGTATATATGGGAAGAGTCTACCTTGGGAGTAGTCTAGTACCCTTTCCTCCCAGACCTGGCCTTGTCCCAAACCAGGAGGAGCTTTGCTTGCAGACACCACAGTGTTCTGTCCACACCCCAACAAACTGCAGCCTCTTGGCCCTGCTTGGGTAGGGAGGTTCCAGTTGCAGGTTCAATGTAGGCTGAAGAAACCAGCTTGGTGCTATTTGGACACAAATGTCTGAGCCTTGGTACTTGGAGAGCATGACAGGCTCTGGGTGGGCAAGTTCTTTAGCCTATGGATTTATCCTGTGTAAAGTGGTGTGGTTGGAGGACAAATGGGGAGATCCTTCTAAATCAGGGCCAGATACTTCTTGTCTAGGTACTCAGGATAATATTGTTCATGCTCATGTACCCCACCCTGCAAAAAAAAAAAAAAAAAAAAAAAAAAGTGTTCCTTAAGAAGATCAGATCTCCACAGATTCTAAGCTATAATCAAGAGTCCAAAATTTAAAAATAGTGATTTATCAATGAGTAATTATAGGTACTAATTGTTTTTGCACATTTAAAATAGGCAATAGAATTTTCAACTTTGTAAGTATTTTACTTTAGAACTTAAAAAACAGTGTGCTGAATTTGGATTTAAACCTGCTTTGTGGAATTTCTAATTATTCACTTATTATTTTAGACATTTCTCCACTTGTTTAAAACATCTATTAGCTCTTTTGTGGGTTGTAGGGTGGTTAGAATGAAAAAGAATAAATTGAAAGGTATTTTTAATGCTGTTGTAGCCCTGGTTCAATTTCTAAGTGTATTCAAGGGAATGAAAAAAAAAAAAAAAAAGAAACTGAATTGTCCACTTAAGTAAATCAGCTTGCAACTCAATGTCCTAAGATTATTAAATCTAGAGATAGGAATATAATTTTATGTCACAAGAATTCATCCCATACAACTTTTCATAAAATACTGTCTGATTGGTCTCATGTTAATATACAATTGTAGTTTTTACAGTGATTTAGAAAAAGCAAGAACCAATTCAGTGAAAAAGGGAATACTTGATTACTCTATTGTATAACAGCAATAAAAACTAATTTACTGTTATATTACTCAATATTGGAAGCTTGCAAGAGGCTATCTTTCAGTTCATTCTTCATTAATTGTGCTGTATTGTAGTGGTATTAGTATCTATTATAGATGAGTTTTATGGAAGGCTTTTAAGTTGACATCTCTGAGCTTGTATTTTGGTTCATGTAAATATCTTTGACATATTTTCTACATGATTGTTGAAGGGCAAATGAAGTGTTGAAGGCAAAATGGATTAATCAGTCACTGTGATTCCTCTCTGAAAACCCTTATGAGTTTATGAGTCTTTGAAATGATCTTAGTTCATAAGAAATTATAATTGTTGAAATTAAATAGTTATATTTTAAGAAAACCTTTTACTTATTTATCTTTATAAAGATTAGTCCTTTTAAATTTGCCAAGCTAGATTTTTGGAGTTTTTCTATTAAATTATGTATAGAGGCATTCCACTGCTCATAGTTCTTTAATTTGGTTAATAGAAAAATAATTAGGAATTAGTTTTGACCGTTGCTAAAGTTTAGATAAAAGACACACATGTTGTCTTAAAGATAATTCTAACAAAGCCATTTAGGTAATTTACATGGTTCTTGTTACACATATATAATAAGAGTATGGTGCAGAAATAAATTTGCTTATCTACATTGGAATTCAGCTTGTAATAAGTAGGTAGATATAGAATACTAAATGTGAAGATGGTGCTTGATAAATTGTCTCTGCATTGCAGTCTTTTTTGTGGGGCTGGTAATAACACTAATTTCTTCCAGAACTGCGTTAGTTTACCATGGCTACTGTAACAAACTACCCTGAGCTATGAGGGAGTTTAAACAGCTGAGGTTTATTTTCTTATAGTTCTGGAGGATAGAAGTCCAAGATCAAGGTGTCAGGATTGGTTTCTTTGGGGGCTTCTCTCTCCCTGGCTTGTAAATGTCCATCTTCTCTTTGTCTTCTCATGGTCTTCCTTCTGTGTGTCGGTGCCCTAATCTCCTCTTTTTATAAGGGTACCAGTCATTTTGGGATTTACCTCTTTAAAGACTTTATCTCCAAATATAGTTACATTCTGAGGTGGTAGTAGGTCTTTAACATATGACACAGTTTAGCCCATTACAAGGGTAAGGATTGAATTTGATGTAAACTAAATTTGTGGCAACTAATAAGATATAGACAATTTAAATATTTTAATTATATACTTTTAAAAATTAGGTGTTAGAAATGTCTTTTTTATTTCTCCTTTACCTGGTTTAATTGTACCAGTGGGAAAAGCACAGTTGAAGACTGATGATGATAATGCTGATAGTCAAAATAATAGCAGCTAATGTTTGTCCAAAGCTCAGTTCTATGTACTTGATGTTTCTAAACTCAATGGTGTTGGCATGGACAGTGGGAATTTAGGGAATCCCCACTTAAGGGTAGTTTGGATTTTCTTTGCCCATCTCTGGGAATCCAGATGTGGATTTGGGCGTGGTTGTTATGGGGCAGAGCTCTAGGTTAATACCTCCATGAAGCAAGATGGAATTCTTTGCAAATCATTATTTTGTGAGATAAATTAGAGTTTTTCTAAAGGTATAGCTTTTTAATTAAACATGGAAAACTTAAATTATCCAGGAACCTTGTTTTGGTAACAAAACCAATTTAAAAATGGCTCAAGATCAGGAAGGGGTCCTATAAAGGATATTTCACACTCTTCCTGTTTGGCTTATCCAGCATCATACCTGTCATATTGTAGGTGCTCAGTAAATAATTGTAGAGTGAATGAGTTAAAGCAAGAAGGATAAATACAATCACAGCTGCAATGCCCTTTCAAAAGTGCACATTGTTTGCTAGCAGATTCAATATACACTGACTGTTAATCATAGACAGTCATTTGGGCACCTTATCTTTTAGTTCCCTTACATGTATGATGTTTGGAAGCAAATGAGTGGTAGTTCAGCTTGGATGTATAGAAACTTTCCTTCCTGTAAGATTTCATAGATGATTTATGCTACATGCTTTTTCCACAGTTTAAAATATAAATTTTAAAAGTAAGAAACTCATTAAATAAAAATCTTAGAACTTAGACTTGGGAAAAAATATTTTATAGATGAAAATACGTCATTTTCCAGGGGGTCCACTTTGCTTACAGGTGAAATCTGTGGCAGTGTTATATTTTTGCCATGACCATTTTAATTATATGCTATGCTTGGACCTGTGAGGTCTTGTTAAAAATGTTTCTTATAATGAAATTGCTAATGTTTTCGGTCTAAATTTCTATGATATTTGAAAAGTAGTAAAAAAAATTCAGAGAATCAAATTTTCAATACCTGTGATTTTCTTTTATTTAGAAAAAATATGCATAGATGTATACAGTTTGGTGTTTGATTAGTGACGTTTTGTGCTTCATAAAAAAAAAAAAAGAATAATGGACAGTCTTTGGGAACAAATGCCTGTTTGGGGGAGAATTCTTCTTCCTAATATCCATGTCAGTACTGTATGTATTTAACTTATTGCTCTGCTGCTAACTTTTAGATTTTAGTTTATACTTGTGATTTTGTTTGTCTTATTTTAACTTGTTTGATGGGTGGGAAATTTTAGATGTGGCATGAGAGGATACAGTTTTGATATATATTATAGGAAGGGAGTGTCAGTTTGTTAACACTGTTTATTTAGATTTTTAAAATTAAAAAAATTTCTTAAACTAGAGATAAGTAATTAAATTAACTGTTTAGGCATAAATAACTGCTTTTTGGCTCCAAGTCATCTTATTTTTCATTTTTCTTCCTGAATTTTTGTGCAGTTTTTAGGGAGTGTTTTATTGTTTCAGTATTCATGGGGTTTTTGAGTCTTATGTCAACTAAAATGGAATTTAATTAATTGAAAACACTGGTTAAAATTTTAAATATATCTTTTTATGAATGAAACATCTAAAGATGTCCAAAGGTAATGCAGTGGAATGTGAATGAGTTGTAATCAGACATGTGAATCAGACCTTTGTGGTATATTTGTGTCTTGGTTTAGGTTGGTTGAAGACTTTCAATGAATACTTTAGAGAAAAGACTCATTATATTTTTAATAACATGGTCATAAAGCTGAAAGAAGACTCAAGTCGGAAATTTATGTGGTCTGAAATCTCTTACCTTTCAAAATGGTGGGATATTGTAGATACTCAGAAGAAGGAAGCTGTTAAAAGGTTTGTTTTAAAGCTTTTTTTAAAATTTGGTAGTATTAATGATTAATTGTATAGTGAAACAAGTGTTAAATTTTTAGAAGGTGAATTTTTAGCCTTATTTCTGAAACTTTTATGTCTTTATATTCTTTTTTTCAATTGGTTTTGATTCATCTTTTAAAAAAAAAGAATTGAAACGTTTCCATTGAAATTCTTATTCCAACTTTATCCTAGAAATGGAATTTCTAGGTCAAAGGGGCTTAATATTTAAATTTTTTATAGCATATCATCAGAGTGATTTCTAGAAAAGTTATTTCAATTAATCTTTCAATCTTCTGTGTAGAAATGTACAAACTCCTCAGCTTATTGGTCAACAATATAATTTTTGAAAAACTTGGTCAATTTGTTGAAAAATATTTTAATTTGCATTTTTGATTGCTATCAGTGTTGCATATTTCTCTTAGAAACTAAATTTTTTGTGACTTGCTTGATTATACTTTTTCTTATTCACTTTTAGATATATATTTTTCTGAAGTTTTTGTTAATTATTAATCTTTAACATACAGACTTAAAATTTTCGTGTAGTCAAGTCTGTTAGTCTGTTTTCTTGTGATATTGCTTTTGCTTTTGTAATTAGGAAGATCTTCCCCAGTCTACAGTTTAGATAAATAGTTCCTTTTTTCTCTAGTTCCTTTTTTTTAAAAAAAAAACTCCAAATTTATGTCCTTCTATATAGTGACAGGTGGTTCTCTGATCACCAATTATGGATTATTTTATCTATTTAACATTTATATAGCACTGACTGCATCTGTCACTGTTCTAAGCACTTTACAAATTATAACTAACAATCCTTTCAACTGTTTTGTGAAGTAGGTATGATCATTATCCTCATTTTACAGATAAAGACACTGATTCATTGACGTCACTCTGCTAAACATGGCAGCACTAGTATTCCATCCAGCCTGGGCTTTCTACTTCCAAACATTGTGCCTTCACATGCTTTGCTGCTTAAAGATTTAAATAAGATTTATTTAAATAAGATTTATTTAAATAAGATTTAAATAATCCATCCTTTTCTACTGATTTGAAGTGCCATCTTTATTCTGTTTAAATATGTGCTGATTTCTGGGCATCTTGACCTGTTTCATGGACTTTACTGTTTAACTTTTTTTTTTAAATATGTATGTATATTTTTTTAGTTGTAGATGGACACAATACATTTATTTTATTTTTTTATTTTTATGTGGTGCTGAGGATTGAACCCAGTGCCTCACATGTGCTAGGCAGACTCTCTACCACTGAACCACCACCCCAGCCCCTCTGTTTGACTTTTAATTGTTATGGTTTTATGATATATTTCCCTAGATACTTTCAGTCTTCTCTTGTCTTTCTATATTGAAAGATTATTTTAATGAATGACCATTTAATTTTCTCAAACAGCTTTATAATTAATTTATTAAGTTCCTCCTACTCCATAAAAAAAAATCTTTGGATTTTGATGGAAATTGGCATAAACATCCAATGACAATTTTAGGGAGAACTGACTTCTATGACTTCTATCATTAATTGGAGCATGTAGACTCTGGAGGTACCAGGATAAGCTGAGTATCCACCATAGCCAAAGTGGCTAGCCACTCTTCTACTCTAGATATGTGTTATCTGGACATTTCCTCCAGTTACCCAAGATAAACTAGAATTCCAAAGTGTTGTGTATTACTTTTTAAATTGAAATGTTAGCAGCTAATTTAGATTAACATACATAGGTGTATGCACATGTACATACACACAAATGCACAAATACACAGCCAATCATAACATTTCTGAAGCCTTATTTTTATTTTTCAGTAGTGGGTATTGAATCTAGGGGTGCTTAACCACTGAGTCACTTCCCCAGCCCTTTTTATCTTTTATTTTGGGATAAGGTCTTGCTATTTTGCTTAGGGCCTAAGTTATTGAGGCTGGCATCAAACTTGTGATTCTCCTGCCTCAGCTTCCCAGAGTCACTGGATTCCAAACTTGTGCCACAGCGCCTGGCTTCTAAATCTTTAGTTTAGCTCTAGCTACCTACTAGTTGGCAAGCTTTTAAAATTTAAGAATTATCTTGTAAAACTACATGAAGGTCTGGAGTTGTGGCTCAGTGGTAGAGCACTTGCCTAGCATGTGTAAGGCACTGGGTTCAATTCTCAGCACCACATATAAATAAATGAATAAAATAAAGGTCCATCAACATCTAAAAAAATATTTAAAAAACTACATGGAACTTTTTTTGGTTTGACTAAGTTTTAAGATATAAAAATGCTTTTGTTTGTTTAGATCTTACATTACTCCTTATATACAAATAACATTTTATATTTTCTAAAACAAGATAATTTTATAGAAATTCTATTGATTTTTTTTTAGATTTTTAAGGATTTATTTCATCTGTACTTATTGTTTGCTTTTTTTATTACTTATTTTCTGATTTTTTTCCTTCATCTTTAATAGACTAGCTAAAGCTTTCACTTATTTTATTGGTTTTCACCTGCTCCCACTTCCCTCAGAATCTATTTGTATTTTTGTGGTTTTTAACTTTGACCTTTCTGCTTTCATCTTTCCTAATTTCTTCTGCCTGCTTTCACTAATGTTAAATGGGCCAATCCATTTATTTTAATAAGAAATGTACCTCTATCTGTCCTTTTTAGCACTGTTATAACTAGCTTTTACATTTTTACATGTAATTTTGTCATTATTGTATTTTTTTCGTAAGTATTCTGCAGCTGTACTTACCATTTTCTCTTTGACTAGAAAAATAATTTTATTTTAAAAATGCTCTTTTTTCCTGCTTTACTTTGTTAAAAACTTGCTTTAATGTCTTATGGTCAGAGAGTATGAACTGTGTGCTTTTTATTCTTTAGAGTATTTTGAGTTTTTCTTTGTGACTTAATATGTGAACAATATTGATGAACCTTCTAATGGTACTTAAAGAGGAGGTGTTGGTAGAATGTGCATTTTGATGGGTATCTGCTAATTCAGTATTTTAAAAATACTGTTTTCATCTGTGTATAGTTAATTCTGCTATCATGCAACATATTCATTCTTTAAAAAAAAATCACTGTGTATGCACAGTCATGCAATAAAATCACAGTGCTTGTGGAAAAAAATGAGGTTAGGGTGCATAGCACTGTAGAATTTCATCAGTGATTTGTGCTCACAAAGATCCTAAAAAAGGAAACCTAATAAAAGTGCTTGTCCAGTTTTACATGTATTAAACTAAGACATGCATAAATGCTACAATAAATGTATCCGTTTACCTTGAAAAAGATCTGATATTTGTTTGTGAAAGTGGGTGTTGGAAAAAGTATAGATTGTGTGTTACTGTGAAATGGTGGTGTAAGTGTTGTTTCTTGAAATCTGATGGAAAGTTGCACAGCAGGTGTGGAGGAGTGTGAATCATAACACATGATGAACTGAAGGAGCTGGTTGATGTTTGCAGCATGCACATGTGTGTATTCCCAGGGCTCAGTTCATTTGGATAGTTATCTGCCTTCACCTGGTGTTTCTCTGGGACTAAATTGCATATCAAAAATGAAAAATTTTTTTCCTAATAAAATCAATCACTTTGGAACAAATTCCCATTTCTAAAACAAGTGTCTATAGCAGAACTGGCTGTATTTACTTTTTGCTAACATTCTCTTGTCAGCTTCCTCTTGTTTTTTTTTTTTTTTTTCTCCTTTATTTCGTGCCTGATCTGTTTGGATCTTTACTACCTCATTTGTTTATTCATTCAACAGACATTTCCTGGATGTAAACTATGGAGCAGGAATTGCAAGGTTCTGGGCACTCTGGTATTTCTGTTCTTCATCATAAATTGTATCTATCCCTATTGACAAACTACAGTCTTCTCCTTTTAATGGTCAACATTACTACCACAACTACTCTTTTTTGTTGTTGTTCATTTGTTTTAGTTTGCCTGATCTGTGCTACTCTTTTTTACTGTAAGGACAGCCAATTTTGAATGGTAGTTCAAAAGGCTGGTGATGGGATCCAGACTGCCTGGGTTCAAACCCTGGCAACTCTCAGTGACCCTGTAATTTTGGGTAAGTTTCTTAACCTCTGTGCCATAGTTCCTTTATTTGTCAAATGAAGATAATATCGGAATTCATTTTATTTGGTCTTTTATTGAGGATTGAATTAAAACAAATAAGATGCTCAACACATGCATGAAACATTTTAAAACCCCCAGTACATATTATTGGATATTATTATTATTATATTATTATTTGTATTTGGAAACAATACCTTTATTTTCTTTATTTTTATGTGGTGCTGAGGATTGAACTCAGTACCTTGCATGTGCTAGGCATATGCTCTACCTCTGAGCCACAACCATAGCCTTTTATTGTTTTAGCTTTTATTTTTCATTTGGAATATTTTTGGGGGGCCCTTATGGAATTTTTATTTCTGAAGTTAACTCAAGAATTTTATTTTTTAATAATTATATAAAATTTATGTTTGTGATTTATCTTTAAGGAGTCTTCTTATATAATGCTCAATTGAAGATAACTTTTTGTACCCTCTGCTCATGTGCATTTAGGATTAAAAAATGTTTATCCATGAGGTGCTAAATTTTCACCAAGTTATGGGCTGGGGTTGTGGCTCAGTTGTAGAGTACTCCCCTAGCACGGGTGAGTCACCACTGGGTTCAATCCTCAGCACCACATAAAAAATAAATAAATAAAATTTCACCAAGTTATATTTTTAGGTATGTATAATTTTTCACTCAGTTTTCCATCTATCAGTTTAAAATTTCTTCAACATACTTTCTGCACTTCCTGACTGCTGCTTTCTTTTCATTTGTTTTAGAAGTCAATTGTCTATTTATTGGGTTTAGCCTCTTTTACATATGCAGTTTTTTTTTTTTTTTTTTTTTTTAATATGTTTGCTGTCTTTTGCGAGATTCTTCTCAAGGATTCCCCAACTCCCTCCTAATTCACTCCCTGGTAGTGAGTCTATTCTTTCCTGGCTTTAAATGCTTTGTTTTAACT